ATATATTTATTTATTTTTAATACAAAATATTTTTTATTATTATTATTTATTACATATTTATTTAATATTAAATATTTCATATTAATTTCTGCCTTTAGCACTCTTTTGCAAGTCTTCAACTCAATATCTTAATCAGCAATTAAATTCACAGTGGTCTTTTTTTAAGTTATACTTTACAAGTTTACTTTACTGATTTTTGTGGAGTGAATATTTTTATACTGTTCTGATATTAGTCTCATTTATTGTGGTTGTAAGGAGCAAAAGTAAATGTGTTTGTATTTAGTTTGAACTTTTTGCTTGTTTTTAGGTACGCTGTGTTTTTTTTTCTCATTTAGGGGATAAGTGAATCAGAACTGGTGGATCCTTACATTAGTAATGACTGCGTGCTGTACTCAGGTGTAAGGTTAGTGAAAAAATCTCAGAGTTGAAAGTTAGAGATGTTTCAGAGAGACGCAAGGAGAAGCAGAAAGAGGGAGAGATGGCACGGTGAACCCAGCACTGCGGGGATCTTGCTCTTTCTTACTGTTCTTCAGCCAGCAGTCTTTCTTTGGTTTAACTGTTTGTCTAACTGTTTAAATTTAAATTTTTATTTCATTAGAATAATTTGGTACTGCACACTTTTTATTCTTAGATAGTAAGGATAAATATTTGTTATAGATTCCTGTAGCCAGAGTTTTGACTTATAATTTTTATGTAATTTATATATTTATTTAATTTTTGTATAATTTATATATATATATGTTGAAAGTTAGAGATGTTTCAGTTGCTAGGCGACTAGTATGCTAATGAAGATGTTCGTCTCAAACTGCGTCTGAGCTGTGCCGAGATATGTTTTAATCACTCTCAACGGGAAAAAAAGAGGGAAATAAATCAAACACATTCTGACGGAACACTGTAATTAATGGATCTGTAAAGAAATAGAGAGGTTCCATTACTTCTCACACTAAATTATCCTCAACTGTCAGGGCAGATACCTGAAGTCTAACAGCCCTGCGGAGATTAGCAAATGTGAAGTGGCAGTGCTGTGTTTGTTCGCTTTGGCACACGGCCTCTCGATGCTCGGAGATGCCACGCACCGTAGAGCGCTCCTTCATCAGGAGAGGTCCAGAGCCAAAACAGCCCCGTCAACCCGCAGTCTTTTAAATACACCATGTAGACAAATGTGCTCAAAGCCCTGTGCCACCTCTGTTTGTTCTAATTCTCAATTAGTTAATATACTCTAAGAAGATTAAGAAGGGGGAGATGACAGAGCCAATGTCTGCACATTCTGAATCTACAGGGAGGCAGAAAGTGGATAGAGGGCTAAATTGAAGATTAGACTGCTCTTGATTAGATTTGTGAAGCTCACAGTGAGCGCTGAGCGAGACAGTGAGACGGAGAAGGAATCGTACACGAGCAGATAATTGATAGAAACTGAGCAGCTAATCCACGAAAAAAAATTAAAGAAAAAATAATTGTAACCTTTGAAGCAAAACATATTCAGATCAGAAGGAACTATATATATATATATAATTTTTATATTTAGTAATAATATTTAGTAATATATTTAGTAATAATCAAAAAATTTAATTATTCAATATTTTTTAGTAATAAAATTTGTTTCTATACTGATGATATAATTTAATATCACTTTACTATTTTTTATATGAATGCTTAACATTTTTATTAATACAATAATGGTTACATTTTATTATAAAATAAGTAAGTTTATCATATATTATTTGATTTATTATACTAATATGTCAAATAATATACTGAACCGCAGGCATCTGAGTATGATCAGTGAGACGGAGAAGGAATCGTACACGAGCAGATAATTGATAGAAACTGAGCAGCTAATCCACGAAAAAAAATTAAAGAAAAAATAATTGTAACCTTTGAAGCAAAACATATTCAGATCAGAAGGAACTGTCAGAAAACAGAGATGTGGATAAACCATTTCTAAACTCTGTGGGAACTGCTAAATGTGAAACCATGCTCCAGTACTTCACAAATCCCAAACAAAAAGGTCAGGAAATTCATATTTGCTGTCACAAATGATCAGTGTTTGGGAATGCAAACAGTATGGAGCATGAAAAATCATGGCTAAGGGAGGAAGATTGCATTGGAGGAGATGAAAAATATAAAGAGAAAATTCATGACTGAATTTGGGAACTCTGATCATATTTGAAGCACTCATATTCCTCACAAATGTTCTCAAGTAGTACATTTGGTCAACATTTATTACTTTGCAGTTTACATGCTGTTGCAACACTTACAGTAGTTTATCTTTTCTAATTTTCTAATTTATATTATTTTTTATTATTTTTATATTTATTGCATGTATATGTTTATATATTATTTAAATGTATTTTTTATTTATATAAGTAATAATCAAAAAATTTAATTATTCAATATTTTTTAGTAATAAAATTTGTTTCTATACTGATGATATAATTTAATATCACTTTACTATTTTTTATATGAATGCTTAACATTTTTATTAATACAATAATGGTTACATTTTATTATAAAATAAGTAAGTTTATCATATATTATTTGATTTATTATACTAATATGTCAAATAATATACTGAACCGCAGGCATCTGAGTATGATGTTGTTTTGTTACGGTGATCTGTTGTTCCTTACATTCTTCTCAAATGCATTTTGAGTTTGTACACACATCCTGCCTCACACAATCACTTCTTTTCACGAAGGACCTGTTGACCTTCTACTCTAAAGGATGTCCATGATCACCAAGAAAAATCCATAGCTTTTATATGTGAGCAATCCTGAGGTCTGATTCTTGCAGCCAGCAGAGTAACTTGCTTTTTTTCCTGTTGATCACATGCATATTCGAATGTCTATTTTCAGGCATTTTATAAAACCAGTAATAAAAAAATAAAAAAATAAAAATAAAAATAAACATCCAATTTTCCTGCCTGAGTGACAGCACAGAGCGCTGACATGGTTTTCCTGATCGCTCAGTTCATTTGTGCCAAAAAAAAAAAGTCTCACCAGTCGGGGATGTGTAATTCAGTTGAAGAGTTCCCGCTGTGTAGCTGCGTACTGAAGTCTGCAGCACCATCACCTGAGCCGGCCTGTCATCTCACCACCACAAAGTAATGATTAAAGCTACGAGGGCTCAATTTGAAAGAGGATGTAATGACTAATGTTGCTGCATAGTCATGTCTCAACATTGCATAAGCCTCCATGTTTTCAGTTCATTTGTGCCAAAAAAAAAAAGTCTCACCAGTCGGGGATGTGTAATTCAGTTGAAGAGTTCCCGCTGTGTAGCTGCGTACTGAAGTCTGCAGCACCATCACCTGAGCCGGCCTGTCATCTCACCACCACAAAGTAATGATTAAAGCTACGAGGGCTCAATTTGAAAGAGGATGTAATGACTATGTTGCTGCATAGTCACGTCTCAACATTGCATAAGCCTCCATGTTTTGTTTACTTGGTCAAATGCTGTTTGCTGGTTCCTGGGGCAGAAGTATTGTAGTTCCCATACAAAAACCTGCCATTGTACCTGAAGTTTACTACTCAGTTGTTGAAGGTTTACTAGTTTTAGATTTTTTTTTTTATTATTATTCTATTGGATTTTTTAAATGTATTAATTTATTGCAGTTTTGATTAGCTTTAACTGTTACTGTAGCTCCTTCAGCTGACAAATTTCATGGTAAAACCCTGTAGAAAAACCCTGTTTTGAAATTCATCTTATTATAATACTTGAAGGAAGAGTTTACCCCAAAATAAAAATTTGCTGAAAATGTACTCACCCTCAGGCCATCTTAGATGTAGATGAGTTTGTTTCTTCATCAAATCAGATTTGGAGAAATGTTCCCTAGTGGATCCTTTGCAGTGAATGGGTGCCGTCAGAATGAGTCTCCAAACAGCTGATAAAAACATCACAATAATCCAAAAGTAATCCACACCACTCCAGTCCATCAATTAATGTATTTTGAAGTGAAAGTCTACGTGTTTGTAAGAAACAAATCCATCATTAAGACGTTTTTAAAGTCAAATGTCTCGTCTGAATCAGGAGTGAAATATGCACAGATATAAATATAAAGGTGGATTTTAATGTGAAAGGACAGCAGGGGCTTTTTCACTTGAGGAAATTTTTGGATTTAGGATTGATGGACTGGAGTTGTGTTGATTACTTGTGGATTATTGTGATGTTTTTATCAGCTGTTTGGACTCTCATTCTGACGGCACCCATTCACTGCAGAGGATCCACTGGTGAGCAAGTGATGTAATGCTAAATTTTTCCAGATCTGTTCTGATGTAGAAACAAAATCATTTACATCTTGGATGACCTGAGAGTGAGTAGATATTCAGCATCATTTTTGCGTGATCTTTTCCTTTAAAATAGCCATGTATAATCAGACAGACATCTTTTGGAAATTGCAATGCTAGCTGCATCAGTTAATGTTATTAATGTAAATCTGTGATGACATGATCTCATAACTTGATAACTTGAACTGTGATCCTGTATTAATTTATGATTTTACAGTATCAACATTAAAATTGGCAGAAGCTACAGTCACCATGGTAATTTTTTGTGGATATGCGCTTTCTCTTTTGGCACGGTTTATCTCTTAAAATATCTTTCATGCCGTTTCGCTGTCTGTTTTTCAGGATTGCAGTCCATCTGTCAGTTGTACATCATCTGTTTGTGTCACTTTCTCATCATTCTCTCCACTGTGTTTTCTTTACAGTATGTCCAGTCCTCCAATTTGGCCAGGAAGTCCCTTTTACAGAAAAAACAAGGGAGTCCTGCTACAAGGTAGAGTGACGTGTCTTACCGTATTTACACGCTTTGAACCATTTTGTCCTTAATGTGTCGGTGGTTCCACTGACAAGTGCTCTTTATTTATTTTACCCGCATCAGTTCTACTACAAGAAGGGATCTTGGTTTATTTGCATGCTCTTTAGATGAGCCTTTCCATCAACAAGAGGCTCATATTCATGTACCTGGCTAGCTCCTAAAGGAATTAGCTGGGTGGGTGTTTATTTGGTTTGTTTGCCCTGGTTTAAAAAGAGCTGCTTCAAATCTGAGACTGTTTTTCTTCACTTCTTTTCAATGTGGTATTTGGATCCTGCCAGCCTTTCAGTTGTTTCCTCTCTCTTGTCTCATTCTGTAATCCTGAGCAATTTTTCCCTCAGTTCTGACGTGCAAGTCCTTACCCCTATTGTTGAACAAACTTGTTGAAGTGTAAAGTATTCAAAGAAAGCTAAATGGATAAAATGAGATAAATGATTGACTGATGAATGATAATTTCCTGGCCTAAATTTTGTTCTTTAACCCTTTATGGTATGGTGCATCCATATGGCTTTCATTTACTCTCTTTTTACAGAGAAGGATATAACGTAATATATTGTAAATAAAATTAAAATGCTTAAAGTAACAGATAATATGGTGCTTTAGTATGTAAGAGTTCCAATTATTGAAATATAACATTTAATTCAGAAATAAATTATTTTGAAGATTTTTTCCCCCTAAAATAAAAGCATTTTTCATATGGCAACATTATGCTTTCTTGAATTTTCCTCTTTTGAATGAATGGTATTTAATGGTAATATTGTGAAATATTATTACAGTTTAAAATAACTATTAAAAATAACTATAATATATATTATATATTATTTTTATTAATGTTGAATTCAGTTTTTCTGCTAATATTTTTGTGGAAACATTTTGAAGTATTCTTTTATTGATAGAAATAAAAATATTTTGTGACAATACAAACGTCTTTATGGTCACTTTTGATTAATTGAATGTGTCCTTGTTGTGTAAAATGATTACTATATATATATTTTTTTTTTTTTTTAAAGTTATATTTATGGTCTTTTTATGCCTTTATTGTGAGAGGACAGCAGAGAGCTGACAGGAAAGCACTGGGAGGAGAGAAGGGAGCAGGATTGGCAAAGGACCTCGAGGCGGGATTCGAACTTGGGTCGCCGTGAGCGCAGTTGCGCTATATGTTGACGCACTAACCACAAGGCTATGGGCGCCGACAATGGTTACTTTTTTAAAACTTGACCGGTACGATAATGTGTACCATACAGGGTTAACGCTTGTTGCCTGCCTAAAAACTAATTGTTTTGTACACAGAACCCTTTTAAAGTTGAATCGACGATAGCAAACCTTTTAAAACTAGACTTTGTGGCTGTTTCCTTGCTTATTTTAATAATGGCTGCAATGAAATGCCTTATTACACTCATTAGCCTCAGCAGGCAGAGGATTGGATGGGTCCTCAGTATCTCGGTCCCAGCACTTGCAGAGTAAGTGTCACGATAACAGTTACAGTGTTTTTAGTTTATTTAGTCAATGCAAAGTAGCAGTAAGCAATGTTTTAAAGATAATAGACTTTCTATTTGTTGCATGTGAATTTTGCTGCTTTTTATTGATAGAGATGGTGGGTAGAGGACAGGAAGTTATGCATGGAATCACATGCCTGGTTCATGTGCACAAAGCACAGTTTGGTCGCAGTAAATCAATCCACCTCTTAACAGTTTAAGAGCAATGCCTACTGTGGTCCAATGATACAAGCGGTTGACTTATCGACATGCCCGGAAGTGGTTCTTTAGACACCTAAATGAATTTGCATTCAGTGCACCTAAGATGTGATCTATATTTAATTTGACTGGAAATTAATTGACCAATGGCTTGGATTGTTTCACTTGATATACTTGATATTCTTGTCCTGAAAATGTCCTTCTTTAAATCTCTCCTCCTTAGTATGTGCTGGATTCCCTCCACATGTATACTCACGCATGTGGATCACAGTAATCAGAGATTTAATTAACCTGGTGGCATTTAAAGCGGCACACTAATGGAAGTGCGGTGTGAGAGCTGCTATTATAAATATGTTTTCCATCCGAGGTGCGAATGTGACACTCACAGCAGTCCAAAGCCCAGCAGACATCCACCTCCAACAGCACCACAGCAGAGCAACTTTAGCTGCTTACTCACAGCCTGAACATTATTTTGCTTTTTTACATAAACCCCTGCACCATAATGAGTATCTGATGTGTGCGAATGATTGCCTATAGTTATATATAATCGGTTACATATCATCACCTTCTTAAACATGCTTAAATGACAGAGAAAATCACAACACACCCTCTCGAAGAGCGGCTTTTGTGCGCTGCATCGAGGTGCCGTGCAGGCAGCGACTTGTTCGCTATAATTGGCAGTTAGCTATGTGTTTTGTAAACTCTTTTGTGGCTGCGATATTATCTGACGCATGGGGAGGCGACAGCGATACACCTGCAATGGCTGCCACATTTGTAGGAGGGACATCTGCTGAGCTCAGAAGTGCTAGCGCACACTAACGCACATTCGCATGTACTGCGCCCTTCACCATCCTTCTTTCTCAGATATGCCATTAAACATTAAAGTGAAGTTTTCTTCTGCTTGTCAAGGCCCTGTCTGTTGCATAGCTATTGAAACATCAGTTAGATCTAAGATGCTAGCTTGATATAATTAGCAATTTAGGAGGAAGTTTTTAAAAGGCAAAAAGTTAAATAATCCTTTTTAAGAGAAAGATGGATTTGGAATGGGTTCAACAAAGGCAGGAGAAGAAAGTCCAAGCCGGCTTCATTTCAGAGATAACATTTTTCAAGGAGATTTTGCTTTTTGGTTTTGTAACAAATACTGAACGAGCATTGAAATGAATTGCTCTCGGTTTGTCTGCTAGCATTGGTGTCTTGCTAAATAGTTGAAATGTCTCTGAGGATGCTGGGAGTGACACTCAAGACTGTGTTTGGAGATGATGAGGGAGTGATTGACGGAACGTGATTGACTTGCATCCTCAGATATCATTTGAAACTTCATCTCATCACTCTAAAGTACAAAGAGACTAAAATATTTACATTTTTTGTGTTCTTAAACTCTCTGAGGTGAAGATTTGCAGTGAAGTCTCTAGATGGACTAGCTGCAGGTCTTTTGACTATATGGCTTTTATTGGTGACAGGTCGATCACTGGCACATTGTCAGTCATGGCAGCCCAGAGGTCATTTAGTTTCAAAATGGCTTTCTTTGAAGTCTACTAGAATCTTCATAACATGTCAAAAATTGTTAGCGAGTGTGAACACAGACTGGGGGCATGTGTAGCCTAGTCGGTAAAGTCAGCTGGAATTTCAATTTGCATCCCATTTTAAGTCCATAATGTAATGTATTTCTGGGTGAAACAGTATATTCCGTGTAGGGCCATCAGGAATTGATCGTATTTTTACATAGAAAGTATGCTAAAACAATGGCCACCCAAATAAATAAATAAATAGACATGAAATACTGATTTGTTATGTGAGAAGGAAATGGAATCAGAATAGTTATTTTTAATTTATTATCATTTTATATTTTACAAATGTATTTATTTGCATTTATTTAATCAAAAAGTTAAAAACAATATTGTCAAATTTTATTATTAGATTTTTTTTCTATTTCTTCAGAAATCATTTTAATATGCTGATTTAATAAAAATTCTTGTTACAAATGTTGAAAAAAATTGTGTTGCTTTTTTTGTGTAAATCGCAATAATTTATTTCAGGATTTTTTGATAAATAGAAACTTTATAGCATTTATATGAAGTTATAATGGTATTAATGTGAAATCAACTCACCCCAAACTTTTGAATAATACTGCAAGTATGCATTTATGTATTTTATTTTATTAAAAAGTTGCACTTCAAGTGCATGTAGCATTATTCTTTCCTGAGATCTTGTTATAGCAAAAGCTTGTGGTAAATTAGTGTTTCAGATCCTGATCCTGCACACTGGTGGTGTGTATTAGTACTGTGACAAGTGGTCCATACCCAGCCCTCTTATTGGATTTTAACAGACTTTTTACTGACGGAAAAGACAAGCACAGAACCGTACAAAGACCAAGAAGTTCTAAGAACTATTTAATAAGGGATTACCAGCGAGATTTACTCCTTCAGTTTCACTGCAAAACTGATCATTGCTTTCTCTCTCTCCCCCTTTCTTTCTTTCTGTCTCTCTTTCTGTTATTTTCTCACACTCTCTCACAGCTAAGCACCTCTCACCTCTCGCCCAGTTACCAGTAGGTCGGGATTGATTTGGTGATTGTGGAAGCCCTTTTGACACTCCATGAAAACGATCCAAATAAACCCCCCTCTTTCCTCTCTTTTGCTCTTTCCTGCGTTTTTCCCCAGCCTCTTCATGTTGAGTAGCGCATCTGAAGTTCAAAGCCTGTAGAAAGCTGTGGCTGTGTTTAGAACTGCTGTAGAACACAAAGTCTGCTTCTGTTGCTAAATTGGTGAAAGGAGGCTCAGTGATTTATAACTTTTTTACATATTTGTGGAAATCCTTCATAATGCTATGTGTTTGCTATGGGGTCATTCCGTGTCAAATCAACCAAATTTCAAAAACTATGAATAGACTACTGAGAGAAAGGTAACGTGCCTTAACTTGACCATTTCAGTGCATTTTTAGCACTCGGACAGGTATGTTCTGTGCATATTGTTTTGATAGAGGGAAACAAGATGCATTCCTAGTTTTAACATTACTTATTCTTCAGACATTCTGCTTTAAATACAGTAAGTATCTGCTGTATACAAAGTGACCAACATTTGGTTTTCAACCCATAAAAATAGGTAATATTCAACAATCTGAAAATGGAGCCTCATTGAGATCCCCATATCTCTGGGACTGAACGATGTAGGGTCTTAAAAATGAAGACCCCAAAAGAAAAGTTTATTAAGAACTAGAATCTAAAATCATATTGCAATATCTTTAATACTTCTTGAGTTATAGGCA